CTCTCTCTCTCTCTCTCTCTCTCTCTCTCAAATATAAACAAACAAAGAAAATCTTTTGAAATAAATAAATAATAAAAAAATTTTAAGTTAACACCTGGCAACACAAGGGACCTGTCAGGGCTGCTCTGATTGGTCACTAATGCCTGGCTGTAGGAATATCCCACATTACTTCTTCAAATTCTTCCCTAAGTCCTCTTTCCCTTCTTCCTCCCCTCCGTTCTCGCTCCCTTTCCTTCTTGTTTTCCTTCTCCCTTTCTTCCTTTCCCAACCTCTTTAGAAAGGCATTAAAGTGACTGTTGACAATCCATAACCGACAAGAATTCATGAAACCATTAAGGGAAGCATTAAACCAAATGTGGAAGATGTGAAATGAGGGCGATAAAACACACGGGGACAAGAGAGAAGGCACAGGCCTGGCCCATTGGAAACTCCACTTTTCTAACCAGCAGTGGCCTCGACAGACCTGGGTCTTTCCCAAGCCGTGCAGTGCTTGGGGCCACGTGTTCCCAAGGCTGCTGGCTGTGGGCCCAGCTCCCTGCAGCCTGGGAGATCCCCAGCCCAGAGCCTCCAGGCCTCTAACACAGGCCTGAGACCCACTTCTGCAAACAGAAGCTGGTGTTGATGCAGCCTTTGCCCGTCGCTCAGTCCCTGGGTGTGGAGACACTTGTCTGCCTGCTACGTATTTGTGGACTGGAGCTCCCCAAAGGTGCTTGTGCCCCCTCAGCCCAGGCTCCCAAACGTTGTCCCTTACCCTTCTTTCGTTCTTTCCAGGCCTCAAGCGGCCTCATCAGAGCTGTGGGTCCTCACCCCGCCCGAAGCAGTGTAGGAAGCAGCAGCTAGGTGGGTACGAAGGTGAGGAGAGACCCAGACGTAAGGATTGGATTACCTTGGTGCTAGGGCACAGATCCTGGACTCTGTGCCCTGTTGACAAGCCTCCAAGGGCCCGGTGACTCTTGTTTTCCAAGCTTCCGGTAGATATGGACTGGAGGTCTTGGGTGGGCAGAGGAGAGGCTGGGTCTGGCAAGGAGGACCTCCCCCACAGGAGGCCACAGGGCCTTCTCCAGAGACGGTGCAGCTGAAGGAGCTTGAAGCACTCCCAGTAGATTGCAACTTCATCATCTGGGCTCTTACGGGGACACCATTTCCTCAGGATTGAGGGAGCCTCAGGGAGGTGACCAGCATGACCTCAGACCTGGACCCTCAGTGGCCAGTTTAGAGATAGGCGGGATACCAGGGAGACCCCAGCACCACCGCAAGGCCTGGGGACGGCCGAGGACCAGCTAGGCCAGAGGGAGTGGAAAAGACAGAACTGCTCTCTTTTCTCCACCAGTTGTCCAGAAGGGTCCTTATTCTCAACCAGTTGTCCCCAGTATCCCCTTACAGTGGCTCCAGTCCTTCCCCTGGGCCACCCAAGATCTCCCAGTGATCCAGCAATTAAAAAGTTAGTACCTCGCGCGGTAAGGGCCCAGCTCCAATTCCGACTGGTCAGCGCTTGGGCCTACAGGGTATTAGCGCTCACCCCTTGGCATTGCAGCCCCGAAATATTAGGGAGAGGAACGGGCTACTGAGATACACAGTCTGTTCCAAGAAGATGCTGCGAAGGGAGTGCTCCACTTTTCCTCCCCATCCCGTTGAAAGCTTTACATGTAGACTGTTGCAAAACAAACAGAACCACGATCCATGCTTCCCCGGTCGGACTTCCCTATTTCAATGGCCCAAAGGCCATTCTACAGAACCTGTGCTTCTGTAGAACCAGTTCCTTCTAGGGATTTGGTTGGTACAACAGCCCCCGTGCGCTCTTGCCAGCCCTCCCACACCTATATATACACAGCTGAGGCCACAGGCTCCCAACTGCCAGTACTGGGGTGAGGGGATCTGGGGGTGGGGGGCTCCAGCCTTCATGCCTCTCCCTGCCCCTTGCAGAGCTGGCCAAGAGGTACCTGCAGCTGCTGAGGAGTTCTGCCCAGCAGCGCTATGGCAGCAGGACGCGCCGGCCAGGGCAACCCCTTGCCTTCCACCAGGCCTATATCCCGCCAATCCTGCAGTGGAGCCGGGCCACAGCACCCTTCAACACTCAGGAGGGGGCCATCCTGGGGGACCCCAAGGCAGAAGATGGCACTGAGGCGAGCATCCTGGACCTCTTCAACACCAAGGCCGACAAGGGTCCGAGGGTGACGGTGCTCCTGGGGAAGGCGGGCATGGGCAAGACCACACTGGCCCACCGGCTCTGCCAGAAGTGGGCTGACGGCCAGCTGGACCGCTTCCAGGCCCTGTTCCTTTTTGAATTCCGCCAGCTCAACCTGATCACAGAGTTCCTGACGCTGCCCCAGCTTCTTTTTGATCTGTACCTGAGCCCCGAGGCAGGCCCCGACTTGGTCTTCCAGTACCTGGAGGAGAATGCTAAGGGAGTCCTGCTGATCTTTGACGGACTGGACCAGGCCCTCCACCCCCATTCCAGCAAGGACACTGCAGGTCCTGAGGCCCCAAGTCCAGCCCTTGCCCTCTTCTCCGGACTCTGCAAAGGGACCCTCCTGCCTGGCTGCTGGGTATTGGCCACCTCCCGTCCAGGGAAGCTGCCCGACTGTCTGCCCACAGAGGCGGCCATGGTCCACATGTGGGGCTTTGACAGGCCGCGGGTGGAGGAGTACGTGGGCCGCTTCTTCAGTAACCAGCCGTGGCAGGAGGCAGCCCTGGCAGAGCTGAGGGAAAACAGACATCTCCAGAGCATGTGCGCGGTGCCCGCAGTATGCCAAGTCACCTGCCTCTGCCTCTACCATCTGCTCCCAAGCAGCTCTCCAGGCCAATCTGCGGCCCTTCTGCCCACCGTGACTCAGAACTATGTGCAGATGGTATCTACCCTCGGCCCCCGTGGGCACCTGCTTCCTGAGTCCCTGCTGGGCCTCAGCGAGGTGGCCCTGAGGGGTCTGGAGACCGGGAAGGTTATCTTCTCTGTAGGAGACATCCCTCCCCCCATGATGGCCTTTGGGGCTGCCCTCGGCTTGTTGACCTCCTTCTGCATCTGCACAGGCCCTGGGCACCAGGAGACAGGCTATGCCTTCACCCACCTCAGCCTGCAGGAGTTTTTTGCCGCCTTGCACCTGATGGCCAGCCCCGAGGTGGACAAAAATGCACTTGCCCACTATGTCACCCTCAGTTCTCGCTGGGTGCTGCGGACCAAAGCTAGACTGGGCCTCTTAGACCACCTCCCCACCTTCCTGGCTGGGCTGGCGTCCCGCGCCTGCTGTCCCTTCCTCAGCCACGTGGCACAGAGGGACGAGGTGTGGGTGGGTGCCAGGCAGGCTGAGGTGATGCAGGCCTTGAGGAAGTTGGCCACCCGCAGGCTCACGGGACCGAAGGTTGTGGCACTCTGTCACTGCGTGGGTGAGACCCAGGAGCCTGAGCTGGCCAGCCTCATGGCCCAAAGCCTCCCCTGTCACCTGTCCTTCCACAATTTCCCACTGACCTATGCTGACCTGGCTTCCCTGAACAACATCCTGGGGCACAGGAATGCCCCCATCCAGCTGGATTTTGAAGGCTGCCCCCTGGAGCCCCACTGCCCTGAGGCCCTGGCAGGCTGTAAGCAGGTAGAGAATCTCAGGTGAGCTTTTCTTGCTGAGGGAGGCTGGGTACGAATCTCAAACATCAGAACAGATAGTCTGAACTACCGCTTAGCCTGAGAGCCGGTGGGGAAGCTCCATGCCTCGCCAAGACCTTAGGGTCCAGTTGGCCCTCCTTTTGCTGCGGTTGCTAGGCTTTTAGTCTCCCCCTCCCTCTCAGCCGTGAGCTGGAGCCTCCGCGTCCAGAGGTGGTTTGACTTCTGGCAGGCTACTTAACCTCTCGGCCTGAGTTTCTTCCTCCCTAAAATGAATTCATGGTAATACCAACTGCGTGGGGTGGTTGGGAGAGGGGGTAAGAGAATACGGGGAAGACCCTCCTTAGCCAGTGCCTGGCTCATGGTGGAGGCTCAGTATGCGTAGTAGTAGCTGGAGAAAAGGTGAGGCTCATAACAGAGAACCCTTCCCCCCGAATACAGTGGGTTAAATAATGTTGAATTTTGTTTCGCTGTCACGGGAGACCCAGAGGTCAGTGGTCCAGGTCGGTGAGATGGCTCAGCTCTGTGTGGTCCTGCAGGGACCCAGATCCCTCCCACTGTCTCTCCGTCATCTCCTTGGGCGTCTGAATCTGCATGGTCAAAGCTGGGTCATGGGCATATCCGTGTTCTGGCTTAGGGGAAGGGAAGGGGAGCATATACTCGATACACCCAGCGTATTAAAGCCCACACACGTGGACACAGAGCACATTCTTTCCACTCACATTCCAGTGGTGACAACATAGTCATATAGCCACCCTGAGCTGCAAGGGAGGCTGGAAATGCCATCTCTGACTGGGAAACCACGTTCCCAATTAGAGCAGTGGAAAATGGGTTTCAATGGACAGTTAGCAGTGTCTGCCATAATATGTATTTGTTACTACTACGAACAGCAACTACTGCTACCACTATTAACATAACTGTATTCAGTTCCATCCGTCAGAGGAGGGGGTGGGTGATGGCCTCTAAGCCCTGTTCCGCGCTGATCCTCTGCCATCTTGCCTCTTCCTGTGGCAGCTTTAAGAGCAGGAAGTGTGGGGACGCCTTTGCAGAAGCCCTCTCCAGGAGCCTGCCGACAATGGGGAGCCTGAAGAAGCTGGGGTGAGCCAGGGCTTGGGTCCAAGAGGAATCCTCAGCCAGAGATGCCTGGAACTCTCCCCTCTCCCTTCAACCCTGCACAGGGCAGATTCCTGGCCTACCCCCTTTCCCATCTCTGTTCCTTCCCACCCTCTTTGCTTATCCTGTAGGTTAGCGGGAAGTAAGATCACTGCCCAAGGCATCGGCCGCCTGGTGCAGGCTTTGCCCCTCTGTCCACAGCTGGAAGAGGTCAGGTGAGTGATCTCCAGGAAGACCTGCTGGCTATGGGGACAAGTCACTTCCCAGGTCCCTGTGCACCCCCTGGAGCCTGTGATGAATCCTGCATATTCCATCAGGATCTGGCCAGTTGTTTTTCAATGGGACCCGGAAAGGGGAGGCATAGATCCAAGAACTGTGTGGGGCTGGATCCAAACACAAGGCTCCCAAAGACCCTAGAGCACTGCTTCCCTCATCTAATATTTTGCTCCATCTTTAAGGAGCTTGAATTTTGAGCCCTCTTTCCGTGACCCTGAGAGAAGGGATAGCAGCGTGTAGGCAGGTGTTGGGCACTGTGGATACAAGTAAGTGCATGAAACACACACATACCTTCACACTCGTGCACCTATGTATTCACACTTGCACTCTCCTGCTCTCCTGACCTGCACATTCATAGGTGTGCACACATGCATGCACACTTAGATCCACATACACACTTAGATGCAATTACACACTAACTAAGCACATGAGCACAAATATACTCCTGCCCTGTGTTTGTGATGAGTAGCCTGAGAGGGGTGGAGCCAGGGAACCTTCTCAGCAGTTCATTGGTAGAACCATCACTAGCTTATATGGCACCTTTATGAGACTTAGAAAAGGCATCCATTCATCCAGAGAGATGCAGCCTGGCACTAGGTTGTACTGGTTGTTGAGTGGAGTGTAGGACCTCAGCTCCTATTCCCCACAGCTGAGTGCCTTTATGTGGGATCACTAGGTGATAGGAGAAAAGATTAAGGTCACTCTCAATAATCAGGAAAAACAGCGTTAACAATTCACATTTCCAAACCTTTGCACTGACCAGAGCAATCATGCACAAAGGTACCCTCACACTTCTGTCCCTCCAGCTAGGAACTCAGGCAAGGCTGGGTTGTGGACTCCATTTGACAGATGGAGAATGTGAGCCTGGAAAGAATGTGCTTGGACTAGGGGTCAAGGCCAGAGCTGGGGATGGAGGCAGCATCTCCTTTATCCAGTCTAGACTCTGCTTATCACCTAGGAGCCGAGAGGCCCTAATAAACTCTAGCCTCAGGCACATCCCAGACATAGCCCTGAGAGCAGGGTGCTGGGTGTCCTCATTGCGCTTCATGAGGCCTTCACAGCCCCGTTATCTGGATCTCTTGGGCCTAGGCAGGAGCTCCCCTTTGGGGCTGAATAGGGACAGAAGTGAGGCTGGCAGAGGGCCTTTCCACTTAGCTGGGCTTACTGGATACTGTGGAGCAGGCCACCAACACCTTGTGGGCCTATGACTTGTGTCTCCTGCACAAAGGCAGCCATATCACCTGTCAACTGGGGCTCCCAAATCCCCCAACTCCATGGCTGAGGGGCTGGGCCTTGGTCTCCCTGCAGTTTTCAGGATAACCAGCTCAAGGACGGGGTGTTGCTGAACATTGTGGAGGTGCTTCCTTGTTTGCCGCGGCTCCAGAAGCTTGAGTAAGCAGTCTTTCCACCCCTTTGCCTGAGTCACCCTCCTCCCTGGAGAGCAAAGAAAGTCTCTTCAGGAGCCCATGGGATATAGGGTTCACTCCTGACACCCTTGCCACAATCTTGCAGCCTGAGCCGCAACAGTGTCTCCATGTCAACCTTACTCTGCTTGACAAAGGTAGCAATCACAAGCCCTGCTGTCAGGATGCTGCAGGTCAGGTGAGCAGGAATGGAATCTGGGCCTCAGGGTCTTGAGAAAAGGGGAGGGGAAGGTAGTGGGTGGGAAAAGGAGCACCTAGTCTGCAAGACCTACATGTGTGGGCACCTGAATTTGTTTTATTCATATCGGTATCTCCAGAGCCTAGTTCAGATATGGCACCTGGTACTCAGTATATAGTGGATGGATAGAAGGATGGATGGATGGACGGATGGACGGATGGACGGATGGACGGACGGACGGACGGACGGAAGGACGGATGGACGGATGGTTGAATGAGTAGAATAATGGACGGATAGATGAATGGATGGACAGATAGTTGAAGGAATGGATCAACAGATCTAGGAAGCATAGGCCTAGCCCAGGGGATAATTAGCCGCATGTTGCTCTCCATGGTGCTGAACTAGGGATACCTGTATGGATTATGGAGTAGGTTAAGTGCCATGCAAACCTAAAATACTGTAACTCCCATAAAAACTCTTTGCATTCCTAATTTTTAAAAGTCTTCTCTGGGGGTGCCTGGGTGGCGCAGTCGGTTAAGCCTCTGACTTCAGCCAGGTCACGATCTCGCGGTCCGTGGGTTTGAGCCCCGCGTCGGGCTCTGGGCTGATGGCTCAGAGCCTGGAGCCTGTTTCCGATTCTGTGTCTCCCTCTCTCTCTGCCCCTCCCCTGTTCATGCTCTGTCTCTCTCTGTCCCAAAAATAAATAAACGTTGAAAAAAAAAAGTTAAAAGTCTTCTCTGGAAAAAAAAAGTCATTTCTGTAAAAATTGCTTTCCTGACTTTTAAAAACACTCTTTAAGTATTCATCAAGCAATAGCATAGTCACAATTTTAATTTCTGATTTGGGGCACTTTTGCCAGTTGTTTCTCTGTTGATTACAAAATCAGCTTTTTCTAGATGTTTGGAACAGCAAGGGGTGTGCAGGCAGGGGGTATTGTGCTGGTTTCCAGTCCACTGGTTTCATGGCTCGGTGTCTGACTCTTGCAGGGAGGCGGACCTCATCTTCCTTCTTTCCCCGCCCACGGAGACAGCTGCAGAACTTCAAGGGTAAGAACGTAGAAAGGGGGTGAGTCTGGGCTCATTCTTAAGAGCAGTCTGGGCTCAAGCAGTTGCAGGGAAAGGTGGGCAAGAGAGCACATGAAGAGTTGGAATGTGGGGCTGCTTCTTGCTATGGCTGCCCTGAGAAATGACTTACTTCTCAGAGTTGGCAAAGAACTTTAACTTCCTCTAGCATATCTGGACCACATCTGGCCCCTGTGATGAGGGAGCATCCCCAGAAGTCTCAGAGCAAGGCAGGCCCTTAGGGAAGGCATGAATATACTGTTAGGTTGGCATTAGTATGTGGAGAACACTCTGGAAAACTCTTCCATCTAAAAAAAAGGGGCCTGGGGGCGCCTGGGTGGCGCAGTCGGTTAAGCGTCCGACTTCAGCCAGGTCACGATCTCGCGGCCCGTGGGTTCGAGCCCCGCATCAGGCTCTGGGCTGATGGCTCAGAGCCTGGAGCCTGTTTCCGATTCTGTGTCTCCCTCTCTCTCTGCCCCTCCCCCGTTCATGCTGTGTCTCTCTCTGTCCCAAAAATAAATAAACGTTGAAAAAAAAAATTTTAAAAAAAGGGGCCTGGGTAGTTCAGTCACTTGAGTGTCTGCCTCTTGATTTCTGCTCAGGTCATGATCCCAGGGTCATGGGATCAAGCCCCATGTCTTAAGATTGTCTCTCTCTCTCTCTCTCTGTCTCCCTCTGTCCCTCCCCCATGCTTTTGTGTGCTCTCTCTCTCTCTCTCAAAATAAATAAACAAATAATAAATTAATAAATTAAAAAATTTTAAAAAGAGAAGACAATGATACCTACATCTCAGAGTTACTCTGAGGATTGAATGAATTAACGCATTTAATGTACTTAAAATACTACTGACATCCAGGTGACACTCAGGTGCTGGCTATTCCAGCTGTGCATGGATTCCAGCTTGGCTAATCCTGCATGGGTGAAGAAAGGGAAATTGCCTTTCCATGAAAGAACATTGCAACTAGGCTTCCTCATACCCCTCCCTGGCTGAGACACACAGACAGATGATGTTTTATGTCCTTGGGCAAGTCTTTTCTCTGAGCTTCAGTTTCCTCACCCATACAATGATCCGGTAGGACCAATGTCTTTTTCTCCTTCAACTGTATAGCTGTGATGCCCAATATGGTAGCCACTAGCCACATGTGGTGATTCAGATGTATATTAATTAAAATGAAGTAAAGTGAACCTTTGAATTTATCAGTCACATTAGCCGCATTTCAGGTACTCAATGACCATGGGAGGCTAGTGTCTCCCGCAGCGGGTGGCACAGATATAAAACATCCTCATCATCGTGTAAAGTTCTTTTGGACAATGCCAATCTAGAGGTCTGTGAAAACGTAACTAATAATGTTCCAGCTTCTCGGCAGCCTCCAACCCTCCCCTGGCCCAGTGAGAGAGAGCCTGGGTGTGCCCTGGCCCCCACAACCTGGACCCACACACAGTCCATGCTTCCAACCTTCTGAACTACAGGTAGCACATATACAGATGGAAGGCTTCAACATTGAAATAGCAGCTTCTTTTTACTAAGCTTCAATTTTGTGCTTATGCGGGGCACTTGACCGTGCATCATCTCATTTAATCCTTCAATCACTCTGTGTTAGATATTGTTGTCCCATTTTGGAAAAGAACAGTGGAAGCTCAGATAGGTGAAGTGACTTGCCCAAGGCCACACTGCTATATATAAGGCAGAGCCAGAATTTGAATAAAGCCTATTTGACCTCCGACCTTTTGCTCTCCTTGCTCTGCTGAATTACACCTTCAGCACCTTCAAACAACTGTCTTTGTTACTCATTCACTTTGGGTCATGCTGCAGGGTCTTCAGCCCCTAGAACCTAAAATAAGAGGTTTGGCTCATCAGGTCTTAGACACTTAAGCCAAGGCCAGTGTTGGATTTGCTCTTTGCAGGGCATCAGACCTACAGGGAAGTGCCAGCCAGAGGAAAGAGGCTCAGAGCAGAAGCCTGGCACTCAGGTACCTCTGTGGGCTCCATTGTCTTAAGGGGAGGGATATAATATGAAAGGAGGTGCCTTCCCAGGAGAGGTGTAGCAGGGGCAAGGAGGATAAAGGATAAAGGCATGGAGCAGAGAAAGCACATGAATAACCCATCCCGGCTTGAACAAGGAGCATCTGTTATAACAACAATAATTATTATAATTTAATGAGCCCTTGCTGGGCACTGTAGTATTTTATATCCATTACCTCATTGTAATTCATTTGAAAACCCTGCAAAGTATGCTTTATTCTTCCCATTTTATAGAGGAGGAGACTGAGGTTAAGTACCTTGTCCAAGATTTCCCAGCTACCAAGAAGCAGGGCCAGGATGAGACCCCAGGTCTGTCTGCCTCCTGGCTCCCACACCTGTCAGTGGTCCTTGGAGCCGGAGGAGGCATGGTGTAGCTTCTTGCCCTGAGCCCCTCTGCCTCCACCCTGACCTCAGGCTTCAGCAGTGTCAGCTCAGGGTCCATGACGTGCAGGAACTCATAACCCAGCTCCAGGAAGGCCCCCACCTGGACAAAGTGGAGTGAGTATCATGGGAAGTTCTGGGGCGGAGAAGGGTGGCGGGCAGGGCAGGGTCTGAAGGGCCTCTGCTGTGTGTGTGAGCATGGTGTGAGGAAGGGCGTGTTGCCTCATTAAGAAGTTGGGGGACGCAGATATCATAACAGCTACCACTATTTAGCATTTGCCCTGGGCCAGGCTTTTTTACAAACATCCTCGTATTTAATCTCCCCATCTCTTTGACGTAAGTGCTGTTTACTACACACATTTCATAGAAGAGGAAGTTAAGCCACACAGAGGTAAGTCTGCACAAGGTCACACAGCTAGGAAGAGTCCAGGCCAGGGTTCAAGCTCAGACAATGACTCCCACCGGCCTCGTCCCCATAACCAGTGTCATCGAGACCTGCAGAGCAGAAGCCTCATCGCACCTGTCTTCTGGACCACAACTCTCAGGTGCCCTCACCCTGTCTTCCCTCACCCAGAGTAGAGTGAGACCACCTTCTCCTTTGGGGCTGGAGAAATTCCATTCATGTCCAGCTCCTTGAGAGTAGGGCCTGGGGATTGGTAGAGGTCCTGTCATGTCATCCGGAGAGGACCCCTGCCAAGACCATTCCAGGAAATCAAACAGGCACGAGGGTGGAGTGATGGAATGCCATAATGTGTTTTGAGGTGAGTGGCCCCACCCCAGGGAAAGATGGACAGGTGAGGGCCTTGGTGACCAAAGCTTGAGCCTTGACTTGGTCCTACTGGGAGAACCAAGACAGGATTAGGTGTTTTTACCAAACTCGCATGCTTCCACCCACCTGGCCGTCACCAAGCTTGCCCCTCCCCCAGTGCTCTCACCTGCAGTATGACCCCATCACCCACCTGGCTACACAGACCAAACACCTCTCAGCTCCCTTCCTCTCCCCCCATAACCAGTCCATGCCAAGACCACCTACCCCTCACGTAGCTCTCAAAACCACCCTCTTCTCATCCACCTCTCCAGTCTGAACCGCTCTCGTTCCTCACCTGGATGACTCCATCAGCCTCCTCACTGGGTCCCCTGCTTCCACACTGGCCACCTCCACCGGGTAGAGAGTGAACTGCACTCCACTGCTGCCTGCCCCCTTCACTCCCTCCCACTGCTCAGGATAAAGCCCGGATGCTAAAATCCTGTGTGATCCGGAACGCTGCCTCCAACCCCCCAAGCCCCAGCTGACCCTGCCCTGCCACTGAGATCATCGATCCTGACACACTGTCCCCCTTTCAGGTCCTCCTGTGTGCTACGCCACAGGGCCTTTGAATGAGTTGTGCCCAGTACCGGGATCACCTTTCCCCCATCTCTCGCCCACCCCTTACCTACCGAGCTCCTGGTTTTTTCAAGCAAGTCGTTCAAACATCAGGGAAACTTCCCTGATCCCCAGAGTAGATCTGATGCCCATATGACTAAGGAGTTTATCACAAGAAGCAGTTTTGCAGATTGAAGCGTAAAGAAAGAGCTGAGGGCGAGGCCTTGGAATCAGGCTGCCTGGGTTCAAATCCCAGGTCCCCCTTTCAGGAGGTGTTTTAACCACTCTGTACCTTGGTTTGCTGCTTAGTAAGGTGAGGATAATAATGGGGCCTGCTTCACAGGGTTGTTATGAGGATTAAATACCCAATAATCGTAGAAGCAGCTGGGATGATGCTGCACATGTAGTGCACAGTCTTGCAGCACCCATTATTAATAGGGCTCACTTACCAGAGTGATGCTTTGGCTGAAGTCAAGGAGGGACGGCGTGCATGCAGAGGCTGGGGGGACCCCGCCTTAGCAGCACAGAGCATCAGGCCCCTCTGTCTCAGCCTCTCAGGGAACCAGCTGGACAATGAAGGCTGTCGGCTGATGGCAGAGGCTGCAGCCCAGCTGGACATCACCAGGAATCTGGAGTGAGTTGCCCGCCTCACCGTGGGGTAGCAGGGAGGGCCCCAGAGAGCCCCCGCTGGTCCCTCCCACCTGGGTCCGTGTGCCCACAGTCACCAGACGCAGGTCTGCCGCACTGGCCACGCCTACTCTCTCCCCAGTACCAGCAAAACTGGAGTGGTTTGGCCTTGACTTGCCTTTGTCTGGCATGAGCCACTGTCTTCGTTCCAGTTCTTAAAAACTCCTTGCCTGTGTAGACCGTGTTCCTTGTGTATCAGTGGCTTGCATTCACTTTGTCCTTACGACAGCCCTGGGGTGGGGTGGGGTGGGGTGGGGTATTGCACCGGGTGGATGGGTGGTGGGGTACTGGAGTGGGGAGAGGTGTGTTGGGTGGGGGTATGGTGCTGAGGGAAAGGGGTGGGTTGTTGGGGCGGTGGGGTGGACAGAACGAGTGGCAGGCTGTTGGTATGCTGTGGTGTTACGTGGTATGGCATAGGGTGGTGTTTGGCTGGGATGTGTTAGGGTCTTGGCCTCAAGTGTGGGTTAAAAGTGGGTGAAAGGTCGAGGTTGCAAAACAGTGGTTTGGGGCCTCGGCTTTGGATTTCATTCCTGGCTCTGTCGCTTAGTAGCTTTAACAGAATTTAATGTCTCTGGGCCTCCGTTTCTCCACTTGTAAAATGGGATTAAAATGGTGGTTATTTTACAGACCAGGAAACAGGCCCAGAGAAGTGAAAACAGTGAGTCAGTGCTTATCGCTCAAGCAGTAGAACCTTATCCTCTGGGTGGGGCAGGGGGCTCAGGCATCTCTTGGCTCATCCACATGGGCCAGAATCCTTTGAGACACCCTGGTTAAGGACCCGGGACATCCCGAGGGTGGCAGTCAGCAAGCCTACTGTGCCAGGAGGAGGGGACCAGAGCGGTCTAGGGCTGAGGACTTCGGCTGCCGGCTGATTGCCACCTTATCCCTCCTCTCCACAGCCTCAGCGACAACGGGCTGTCTGTGGATGGGGTGTATGGTGTCCTGAGCGCAGTGAGCATGTGCCAGACCCTCACAGAGTTACACATCAGGTAGGAACTCCCAATGGACCACTGTTACCCACTCCTACCTCCAGCCTAGAGCTCTGGGACTCTCCCATCATCCTCTCTCAGTCCTTAGAATTCTTTCTGGTCCCAGGCCTTTGGGACCTGTAGAATGTGCTGCCGTGCCTAAACGCTCTTTTCCCAGCTCCTCTGGGTGTTGGCTACTCACAGCTTATACCTTCTCCGGGAAACTATCCTGGGCTGATAGGAGCCAGCGATGCCTGGGAGGTAACCCTCCCAATTCCCCCAACCAGGAGTGGCCAGTGACAGAGGCAGAGATATCACTCTCCAGCCCTCTGGCCTCAGGTGGGACAAACTTTTGGTGCCATTCATGCTCCAGAGCTCCCTGTGGGATCAGGCTGAGGACTTGCTCTGTTCTGCTTCCCTTCCCTTCCCAGTTCCTCCTGAGAGCAGGCCCTTAGTACATCATGCACACAAGTGACCATCAGGTGACACTTGAGCCACTGCCCCATTCATAGGCTCAGGCTCTGCTTCTAGGGAATTTGACCCAAGACAGGGCCCAACCTTATTTCTGTAAGTCTCAGTATTCAGTCTTAGGAGCTGAGGACAGATGCTAACACAGTCAACACAGTCCCCACCTAGAAGGGCTCTTCACTGAGTAGGGTGGTCCCTCCTTTGAGGAGGAGAGAGACGCCAATTAACCCAAACGAGAGATTAAGAGACCTTGGTTCACTGTATATAATGATCTGATAAGGGATCCTTAGCTCATTCCGAATGACGCTCTTTATTGCTAGAAATTTATAGTAAAGAAATCATGCTGCTGGTATAAACACATTTAGATGCAGGGATGTTCGCCTCAGCATTGGTTATATAGGAAAAAATGAACATACTTTAAATGTGTAACAGTTGAATATTAGGTAAGTAAACTAAGTTATCTTCAGAGAGAAAAACTCAATGAAAAATAGTGGTATAGATACAATTATAGCATGGAGAGCTGACTGTGGCATATTAAATAAACAAAAATTTTGATTCATTGCTTTTACAGTAAGGCTTTTCAAACATACTCAAAAGGTAGAAGGAATGGTGCCATGAACACCCCAGCTCCCACCAATAATTATCAATATTTTGTCACCTTGGCTTCACCTGTGCCTTTAAAAACTGAGCTTTCAAAAGAGAATCTGTAAGTTAATCTCATTTTTTAAAAAAAGGCAAAAAAAGAAGGAACATTAATTGCATATAAAAAAGGGGGGGCTCCTGGGTGGCTTAGTGGGTTAAGCGTCTGACTCTTGGTTTCAGCTCACGTCACGATCTCATGGTTTATGGGTTTGAGCCCCGCATCAGGCTCTGCGCTGACAGTGTGGAGCCTGCTTGGGATTCTCTCTCTCTCTCTCTCTCTCTCTCTCTCTCTCTCTCTCTCTCTCTCTCTGTCTTTCTGTCCCTCCCCTGCTTGCGCTCTCAAAATAAATAAACTTAAAAAAAATAATAAAACAGACAAACAAAAAACCAAAAGACTTGGAGAACTCCCAATATTATCAGTGGTCTCCCACTGATAATCCCAAGTATTATCAGCAGTCATTGATAGGTAGAAAAGATGGTTGGTGGTTTTCTTTATTTCTTTCCTACTTTACTAAAGTTTGTAAGTTCTCCACTCAGAAGAAGTATGACCTCTGCAATGAGAAACGTGTATTTAGCTTGTAGTTTATACAGCTGAGGTCAGGGATGCTCCTGCTGTAAGTTACAGCCTCGGGTGGACTGTCGGTGCCTGTCCCGGACCTGGCAGTGACCCCGCTGTGCTGGGGTGAGTGCCCTCGACCGAGCATGCTCCCAAAACGTAGCAGAGGGAGGAGGGTTTCAACCTGAGGGCCACACCAGAGAGAAAGCAGAACTGAGGCTTTCTTTGAAGGACTTGTCAGGAAATGGGGCTTAATCAGTTTGCAAAATCTCTGTTGTAGAAAGACTTCGGGAGCCCAGAAACTCAGGAAGTGACAGCAAGTAGCTGCAGCTACAGGCGGGAGGTGACACCTTCTAGGTCTCTCCAGGCGAGGTTATAAAATGACACAAGGACCCCCTGTAAGCCTCTTGTCTCCTTCCTCTCTTCTCTCTGCAGCCTGCTGCACAAAACCGTGGTCCTCACGTTTGCCCCGAAGCAGGAGGAACAGGGAGGGATCCAGGAGAGGTAGGGCCCAGCATCACCCTGGCCACATCCTTAGCCAGGGCCAGATCCTCCCTGGCCTCCACAGCTGGACAACATCACTCAGCTGCCAGGGAACCTTGACAGATTCACGAAGGATTAAGAAGCCGACAGACTCAGCAAGGGAGGCAGCCCTGAGAGGGAGTGTCAAAGGACAGACTGCCTCCCCTTTGCCCCGTGACACAGAATGGTGTACTGGGGTGGGGATGGGATAGCCACACAGCAGAGCACCAGAGCCTGGGGTCCTTCAGCCTAAACCCAAGGACTGCGGATTGCTTGGTCTATAGCTCTGATTTTGGTCAGAACTTCTGGCTCCCCCTGGCATGGAGGACCCCTTAGAGGAAGTTTGCCGCCTACAAGGTGCCTGGATTATCCCAGCCCAACATACGGGCAGAGATTCAGCTCTTGGCCCCTCAGTGTCTCCTACAATGTCTTATGTAAGGTCTGAGCTCTAGGCTGACATCTCTGAAGGCACTAATGATGTTGTTGAGATTAATGATACTAACAGCCAAGGTTAGCTGAGCACTTACTATGATGTGCATGCAGCAAGCAGCACATTCAGGCAGTTCACATGCATTGTCCCAGCAAAGGCTATGTGATTTGTCCCACATCATGCAGCCTAGAAGCCAAGAAGCCCAAGTGGAACCGAGGTCTGGCTGTCCCCGGGCCTCGTGTAGAGACTGAATGGCGGGAGGTGAGGCTGAGGGTGGGCTTGGAGATAGTGGGCTGAGGAGTTTGCTCAGCCTGGCCTTGGTGTGTGTCCCTCCAGGGCTGCACTCCATGACGGCCTTATGCGGCAGATGCCCTGTGAGCTGCCCCCGCACTCCACAAGGATCAGGTACGGTGCTGGCCTGCAGGCCTGGCTGTGGCTCGAGGCTCATCCCTTCCTCCGCTCGAAGCCTGTCCCCAGGCCTCTGGCCTCAGGTGCTCCCTGGAAGACACGACCTGTTGTATCCAGGAGTTGTGGCCTGGCTTCCCTGCCTCCCACCTCCCCTGCCCAGTCCATCCCACCCAGGGCTCACGAGGCAGCTCCTCAGTTACCTTCCCTGCCTGGGAGCCCCCACTCCTCTTAGCTCCCCTGACCTCCAGCAGCTGATGAGTTGCGGGGACTCTGGATGGAGAGAATGGGGACATATGGCCCCTTCCTTCCTCATCCTGGGACTTAGCTCAGCCCCTACAGGGCTCCTGTCAATATTCTTCTGGACTTCTCTCTTACTCTAGGTCCATCTGATTCTCCCTGTCTCTATTGCTTCTTGTTTCTCTTATGTTTCCTGTTTCTCTGTCTTTGCTGCCTTTTCTTTCATTGTCTGTCTGTCCTCTCCTGGCACTGTGTGTGTATGTGCACCTGCATATGTGTGTGTGCATGCATATGCGTGTGTGTGCATGCATGTGCATGTGTGTGCATGTTTGTGTGTGCATATGCATGTGTGTGCATATGTGTGTGCATGTGCATGTGTGTACGTATGTGTGCGTGTGTGCATATACATGCATGTGTGCATGTGTATGCATGTGTGTACGTGCATGTTTGTACATGCATGTGCATGCGTGTGCGTGTGTGTGCATGTGTGCATGTGTGTGCACGTGTGTGCATGTGCATGTATGCGTGTGCATGCATATACGTGTGTGCATGCATGTGTGCGTGCACGTTCATGCGTGTGTACGTGTGTGTGAGTGTGTGTGCATGCATGTGCGCGTGCGTGTGCATGTGTATGCATGTGTGTGCGAGTGCATGTGTGCACGCACATGTTTGTGCGTGTATGTGCATACTTGTACATGTGTGTGCATGTGTGCATGCATGTGCATACATGTGCGTGTGTGTGTACATGCATGTGTGTGAGTGCGTGTGCATGTGTATGCCTGTGTATGTGCACATGCCTGCATATGCATGGGTGTGTAGGTGCATGTGCACATGTATCTCTGCATCTGTTTCCTCTGTCTCTCATCTTAGTGTCTCTCCGTCTTAGTCTGCTTGCCTCCCTGTGTCTCTTACTGTCTCTGGCTTTCTACTGCCTTATGCGGCAGATGCCGCATGTGTGGCATGTCTGATGTGTGTGATGTGCGTTGGTCCCTCTGTCTGGATCCCAGATGCGTCCCCATCCCTCTCCTGAAAGCCTCTCCTATGTGTGTGGGGGTGGTGGCCACTGTCACCTCTGTTCAAAGAGGCAGACACCGCAGGGCTGTGCTTCCCCCTCTGCAGGCTGACACACTGTGGCTTGCAAGCCAAGCACCTAGCACAGCTCTGCAGGGCACTGGGAGGAAGCTGTCACCTCAGTCACCTTGAGTGAGTGCTTGCTGTTGGAAGGTGGGTGGGCGGGGGGGGGGGGGGGGGGGGGGGGGGGGGGGGGGGGGGCCCGAGGGGCCCATCAGGCAGTGGGTGTCAGCGTGCTGGGTTTTGTTTTGATTCTTTAAGATTCAGATCGGCAGTCTTTCCTTCCTGCAATCAGGAACCCCTTAGAGAATCTGGCGAGGGGTTACCCCTTCCCCCTAAAATACAGGTCCCCACATACGACCCCCTCTGAAGTCCATTCTTGACTCCCCAGCATCACAGACCTCAGGATAGGAGCCCTGGGGGAAACTGCGGCTGACCCGTGTGGGACCTTCTGAGATCCGGCCTGGCAGCTCAGGGTGGTGTCCCAGTTTCAGGAGAAGCTAAGTGACTGAGTGACCGGAGTGGAGAGACAAAGCTCCTACCAGTCCCAATCCGATCCTGCATTAACCTCTTCTCCCCTCTGCCCTCCCAGCTTCTCAGGCAACGCTCTGGGGGACGAAGGCGCGGCCCAGCTGGCTCAGCTGCTCCCAGGGTTGGGCACTCTACAGTCCTTGAAGTGAGTAGCTAACTAGGCAAAGCCTCTTGAGGCTTGTCCTCATCAGAAGGAGAGAGGGAGGGAGAGAGAGAGAAAGAGAGAGAGAGAGTGAGAGAGTGTGTGTGGGGGGGTGTGTTCTGTGTCCCATCTCATTCCCTCCTGCATTATTGTAAAGATTAAATCAGAAAATGCAAGTCAGTAACCTAGTCCAGTCCATGGCACATGGTAAGTGCTCAAAAAGGGTACTTACGCTGTGATTCTCATTAACAGAGACTGGCCTCTGTGACTCAGTGATCCAGCTGCTGACTTAAGGTTCTGTTTCTTGAACCTGTCTTTGTGTCTCTGCACGGCCTCTCTGGGAGGCCCAGGTCACCTGGTCAAGCATGGCTGAAGTGTCACCTAATGATTAGTTAGCCTAATGACTGGCGGCCATGCTGGCCCTGGGGTGTAGGGAGGGGCTGTTGATAGGGAACAAGCTGGTAGGCAGGGAGGATTTGTGGCAGACAGGATACCCAAGCAGGGTGCCCGGGGAAGCTGGAGAGCAGAAAGAGGGAAGATGTTCAGTATGGGAGGGATGCCCTAGAAAGAGGCCAGGAGCCCCAGGACTTTGCCTGCAACAGACTAGAGTTTCTGGATGCTAAAAGACCCCTGTGTTTTAGGCTCCCACATACCCATCTCCTCCTCCTGAGCTCTTCTGGGCTACGGTGAGAGGAGCCCCTGGGGAGAGCTCACAACTATTAGTTCTCTGTGTGACCTGAGGCAAGTTACCTCACCTCTCTGGGCCCCTGGTTCCCAGTTAACACCTAAACTATAAGAGGGGCTGGCTCTGGTTTTGTCTACAACTTTAGAATGAGTGCTGTGGCCTGAGGGCCCTCCCTGCTGTCTTGCTGTGGGATCTGGGAAGAAGGGGTGGCCTCTGTTCCTGTTCTGGGCCTGCATGTGGGTGGGGAGGTAGGCCTCACCACCGCAGGCAAATTATATGTAGATGGGCGCAAATTTCCATGTGACCTCCTCCATACTGTGAAATGCTCTGACCCCAGACCCATGAGAGTCCGCACTCACCTACCAGTACCCGTGCCAGAGGAGTGCGACGTTAAACGGCAGATAGAAAAACACCGTGACAGATTGACAGACCCAAAAGAAAGGAAAAGCTTTGCTCCTGCCTTTTGAACAGGAACCCCTGCATTTTCATTTGGCACTGGGCACCGCCTTTCTTTTACCAGGTGGGGAAATTGAGGCACAACTCCGGCCTGCAAGCACTCCCCAGATTTATCACAGACCCAGGGAACCAGACTTGTATTCTCAGCTTTGTCACTGACATGTCTCATAACCTTGGGCAAGACCTTGCCGCTCTCTGGGCCTCAGTTTCCCCATCTGTATAATAGGGAGTTAGAAGAGGCACCCCCTGACCGTTTGGGGTTCAGTGAGCTCTGTCGTCTGGACTCAGGGACAGCTCTCCCCTGCCCTGGGTTCTCACCACAAACAGGGAGGTTTTGAGTCTTGGGTGAACTCTGTTAACGTCACCCCTATGATTCTCCAGCCTCAGTGAGAACGGCTTGTCGCTGGATTCGGTGTTCATTTTGACCCAGTGCTTCTCAACTCTGCAGTGGCTTTTCCACCTGGAAGTCAAGTGAGTGTGCCTCTGGACCCCCCACTCTGCCCTCTGACGGCACAGGCCATCAGCTCCCACCGCACTTCCTTGTCTGTCATGATCACAGTACAGCTTCCTCGGGGCCCTGCATGGTCCCAGGTCCAGTGAGCATGTGCTAGATGTCTGCCGAATGAGTGAACGGCCGGATGAATGAATGTCACCCTGGGACTCTCACATCTCTCCAAATTTGCCATGGGACACAATCCATCAGCTCTCCCTTGCTCACTCTCTGGATTATCCTGGGAGACTTTTACGGAAACTGGGAGCTCCCTGGTGGCCATTGAGCGCTCACTCATGGGGTCTCTGGAGCTGATGAAAATATAGGAGGGAAGTCACCCAGCCAGGCCATGCAGAGGAGCCGTGGTTTCAGTGAGGTCTGCCCAGTCCTCCCCTTTCCCCTTCTAAGAGCGGGAGGTGTGAGCACAGACAGATCAGGTGCAAATCCAGGCTCACCACTTACATGCTGTGCAGATTTGAGCATGTCGCTGAGCCTCTCCATACCTGTTCCCTCATCTATCAAAGAGAGGTAAGAATCTCTCCTTACCTCACAGCGGCACTGTGAGAATAAAAGGGAATCATGTCAGTGCTGCACCTTGGATGTGCCCTAATCAGTGTAGTTATGCTTAGTATACGTATCATTGTATTTGCTGAGAAAGTGGACCGCTCTCCAGGCGCTCCTTGACCAGGCCACCTGGTCTCAGTCAGACTGATGCCTCCTCTCTCTCTGCAGCTCTGAGAGCCAGCACGTCGTCCTGAGAGGTGACAGAAGAGGCAGGTGAGGAGGGAGAGCTCTGGGGGTAGTGTGGGCCCCCCTCTCCCCCCGGTCCCCATTTCCTCCGGGTGCCCCCCACCCCAGCCCCATGCCTTTAGCCCTAGAGTAACCCACGCAGGTGTGGCACCACTTCTGCGCATGTACCCCTGTGTCAGTAGGTTTGTGGTCATTGGCCGCTGAGGTCTCTCTTGGAAGGAGGCAGTGCAGTTGGGGAGGGAGGCCACAGTGGTGGTGTTACAGCCCAGAGCAGGCGTTGGCTCAGGGCTGCCGAGGGGGAGGGAGGGCAGCGAGGCTTTGTCCCTGGAGACATTTGGCAGATTTCTGCAGACTTCTGACCTTGTGTGAGTATGGCATTTGAGAAGCCAAGAACCGTTGGTGCTCGACAAAGTCTCCCCACCTTTGCAGTAAACAAGGATCGACAGTTGGTTCTGCGCAGATATTTCTGGCTGCCCCCTAGTGGGGCCGGGCACCCTGGGCTCTCGTGGGAGGTTGGCAAGCCCCGGGGTGGCCTGATGTGGGCCCAGCAGCTGGGCAGAAGGTGTTCCCAGCTAAGGTGTCAGGGGAAAGCATTGCCAGACCAGCTGGGCCATCTGAAGCTGGAGTGGCCCAAGGCCCGGGTGGTCGTACGTTCTGGGCCCAGGTCTCCGTTTCTGGGGACTCTGGGTTCTTGAAGCCTAATGAATGGAGGCACAGGAAGGTGAAGTCCGTGAATGCCGCACTGGTGATCAGAGAGAGGAGGGGCTCCCTCCTGGCTCCCCCTGACCTAGTCAGGTGCTGCCACCTGGACCATGTGTAAGCTGCTGGCTTTTCTCACTCTGGTCTCCCTTTCATGGGCCTCAGTTTCCCCATCTGTGCAGTGAGGGCCTTGGTTGTCCCTAGGCCCCCTGCAGCCCTGACTTCTGAGTCTTTCTTCCAATGTGCACGATTTGAACTTCCCTCTCAAAACGGTCTCCCCACCCCAAGGGATCAGTTGGCTGGTGGACCTTTGCCAGAGTTCCCAGCAGGAGCCCATTTCTCCGCGTTTGATCAGCACTGCATCCTCAGGAGCGTCTGGTACTGTCTTACCCACTTCTTATTTGGGGGTAACCATGATAGGGGTGAAGGGTCAGGGAGTGAGGAAAGGCTAAAGGGAGCTAGGGCTGGGAGAGAGGGAGTTTGAGGGAAGAGAAAGAGGGCCAGTATGAAGGCTGGTGAGGGGGGCTGCTGGGCCCAGACTTCTCCCTTGAGAAAAGACACCACATTGTTGTTTTCTCAGAAGACTTCCCAGCTCTGCCTCGGGGGGCTGTGTGACCATGGCTGGGCCCCTCCCCTCTCTGGGCCTTGCTTTCCTCACCTAGGAAGAGAGCCACCTCAGCTGGGGACCAAACAGGGTTATCCAGCGGAAGAGTGGGGAGGGGTGTCCCAGGCAGATGGGTCAACTTGGGCAAAAGCCCTGAGGAGGGAAAGCTTGGTTCTTGGGAAGCATGTCAGTGTGGCTGGGACATATACAGGGCAAGTGGAGGTGAGCGAAGGCAAGTGAGGCCATGGAAAAGGCCTTTTGCTTTTAGCATAAGAGTAATAGGGAGCCACAGGGGACTTAAGCTCCTGAGAAGCATGGTCAGATTTGCGTTTAAGAGATAAGATACTGGCAGGTGGAGAAGGATTACATGGAGGCCAGAGGGGAGTTCGAGGTGTTAAAGTGGTCTAGGCAAGTGACAGTGGTGGCCTGGACTCAGGCAAGAGCAGTGGCAGTGGGGAGGCCTTGGAACTGAGCAAGGGCAGCTAGGCACTTGGAGTCCTTTACTGTCACTGTCTGAGTGGTGGGGATCGGGCTATAGGGGACACTTGGAGTGCAGAGCATGCCCTGAAAGGGAAGGGTCCTGCAGCCTAGAGGTGGAGGAGGAGGGGCAGAGGGAGAAGGGGAGGGCCCTGGGGCTGCAGAAGGGCCCTGGGTCCTCTCTGACGCCCTGCCCCGTCCACTGCTCCCTTTCAGCCTCCGGCAGTGTCTGCTGGAGCCCTTGAGCCTCACCCACCTCTGTGAGACTCTGGAGAAGTGCCCGGGGCCTCTGGAAGTCAAGTAAGTAAGGAGGACACAGCCCTAGAGGACACCATGTGGGCATCTGCCCCGTGGGTGGGGGTGGGGGTATCCTGGCTAGAGGTGAGTCTTTGCTGGTCCCTTCCCACCAGACCCTGTAGCCCTGCCCGCCCCTGACCTATTGGTGGAAGGCTCCTTGTGTCCCACAGGGCACCTTGCCCCTCCTCCTGGGAGAGGCCGCTTCCCTTTCCCCATCTGCTCAACCCCGGGCTCCTGGGAGCCCCGATCTGCTCCCTCCATCCCTGGAGCCCTGACCACCCCCCGGGCTGCCTCCATGGCTAAAGCAGATCACCTCTGAAGGCCCCTCCTCCGGGCCTCTCTCTCCTGGTTAGCAGCTCACCCACCCCAGAACACTGGGGTCTGTGACCAGAGACTGGACCTTAGAATCAAAGGAGTCCCGGCCCAGCCACCTCCAGGCTGGGTGACTTTGGGCAAATGGCTCTAACTCCCTGTGCCTCAGCTTTGTCATCTGCAGAGATGCTCGGCCTTTCCTTTGGTCCTCATCGTTGTCACCTTCTGACAGTAATTACCTTAAAGTAAAGAAACCCAAGACAAGCCTGCCTCACCTAAATATGCCCTCTCCTCTTCTAGTCAGTGCTGTCCTTTGTCCCCGGGACCCTCCACTCCTCATCTGTGTGCATGTTCCGTTTTTACCTATCTGCGGTCACAGACCCACTGCATTCGACAGCTTCACTGACATGATTCTCCCACTCATTACGGTCTCTGTTCCCACTTTCCCACCCCCATCTCTGACCCTCGCAGCAGGCTCATCCATGTTCATCACCTGGTATCTGTCTTTCCATGCCTTTCTCCGTGTGCAAATGCTTATGGACACAGAACAAGGGGGTTTTGACATTGTTAACCGACACAGGATCTTACCGTGTAACGTCTCTGCGACGAGCTTCTGTCTCGTGACAGTACATCGTGGCTTTCCTGGAATATGGAGCCAGTAAACTTTTTTTAAAAAATTTTTCTTTAATGTTTATTTATTTCTGAGACAGAGAGAGATAGAGCATGAGTGGGGGAGGGGCAGAGAGAGAGGGAGACACAGAATCTGAAGCAGGCTCCAGGCTCTGAGTGGTCAGTTTGACACGGGGCTCAAACTCACGAACCGTGAGATTATGACCTGAACCGAAGTCGGTCACTCAACCGACTGAGCCGCTCAGGCGCCCCGCCAGTAAACATTTTAATAAACCATTTATTTTAGAATAGCTTAAGACTTGATTTCCAGAAGAGTTGCAAAACTTGTCCAGAGAATTCCTCCACCCACTGCCCCTACTGTTTATATCACTTGTCATGGTACATTTGTCACAACTGAGAAATCAACTTTGCTACAGGACTATTAACTGCACCCCAGGCTTGATTGGGATGTCACCAGTTTTCTACGAAGGCCCTTTCTCTGATCCAGAATCCTGTCCAAGATCACACAATGCAGTTAGTCAATGTCCTTAGTCTTTCTGGTCTGTGACAGTTTCTTAGTCTTCATTTTTCATGACTTTGACAGCCTTGAGGAGTACTGGTGACATGGTTTATGAAACGCCCCTCAATTTGCTTTTCTCTGATGTTTTTCTCACGGATGAACTGGAGTTATGGGTTTGGGGGGAAGAAGACCACAGAAGTGAAGCATCCTTCTCGTTGCGTCTCAGAGGTGCATGCTATGGACTTGACTTAGCACTGTTGATGTTGACCTTGACCGCCTGGCCGAGATACCATTTGTCTGATTTCCCTACTGTGAAGTTACTTTTTTATTAAACACACACACACACACACACACACACACACACACACACACACTTCTTCTGTAATGGGGACTTTCAAACATATATAAAAATAGAATGAATAAGGGACACCTGGGTGGCTCAGTTGTTAAGTATCTGACTTCAGCTCAGGTCATGATCTCACAGTTTGACAGTTTGAGCCCTGTATCGGGTAAGTTCCCTCCCTGCTTTTGGTGAGCCCTGCTTCTCTTTGTCTCTCCAGCCACCTCCTCTGCCCCTCATGGGATTCTCTCTCTCTCTCTCTCTCTCTCTCTCTCTCTCTCTCTCTCTCCCTCTCTCCCCACCCTCCCTCTGCCCCTCACTAGCACCCTCTCTCTCTCAAAAAAAAAAAAGTGGAGCGAATATTGTAGTGGGCCCTCAGTCCCTTCCACCTGCCTCAGTAATTATCACGTCACGGCCCCAACACACACGTGCACACAGACGTTATTTCAAAGCGATTCCCAGACACCTTACGACTGCATCTGTAGTTATTTCAGTATGCGAAACTGAAAAGTGAGTACTCTTTATTTTTTTGTATAACCACAAAACCATTATCAGACCTGAAATATTAACATTACTATATGACATATTAAAATCATGGAGTAGCCCATGAATTTTTAATCATCCTGATTGTTTCTAATGCATTTTTATGTAACATTTGTATATCTGTACCTTTTATTTTTTACACTTATGCCTTTTAATATTAACCCTCCACAGTTTGGATATGCCACAAGTGATTCATCCACCCCTCTCTAGAGTCTAGACAGACATCCAGGCTGCTGCTGGTGGTGTTTTTTATAGCACTGCGGCCAGTACTGCAAAAAGCACCCTTCCATCATTTCACTGTTAAGCACCTGCTGTATACCAGGCACCGGACCAGGCCCTGGAGGGAGCAAAGTGTGGCTGGACATCACTGCCTGCTGAGGCTCACCTGCCATAGTGGGAGACAATGTCAACTATCTCAGGCAGTGGTCTGAGCACAGATGAGGGTCTAAGCCCCCCCCCCCCAGCTGTGGCTGGAAAAATGAGATTATAGCATGAAGGCGCTTTGCCAGCTGTAGAGTGCTGGGACCACGTATGAGAATATTGTTATCAAGGTCCTTAATGCCGAACTCCAGCAATTTGGATGCCAGGGAAGGTGATGGGTTCCGGCCCCCTCCCCAGATTCTA